GGTTGTTGTTGTTCTGGATCTCCACCGTTTGGGTGCCAATGTTACACATATCGTGAATCAGCTTTGTGAACTGCGCAGGCAGCAGTGTGATCGCTTTCTTAAGCTCGACCGGCGGGATGCTCATGGTGGTGTTGTACAGGCCAAACAGGTCTTTGAGCCCATGTTGGGCCCGGAGCTGAGGCGGAGGCGCCGGCTTGGGACTCTGGAAGGGGATGGGCGAGGCTGCCGGCGATGTCGGCAGCCTCCTGTCTGGCATCTCCTGCACTCCAAAGAAACGAAGAAGGGAAGAACAAATATAACAGTAAGGCTTGCCGTTGCATGGATGGATGGTGCAAGCATGATTCTGAAATTCTGGGCGGTGTCCTACAACTGAAGCAGTCGCTTACCAACCGTGTCGTCTGCGGCTTCCGAGGTCCTCTCCTTTTGGAAAGTATTGCGTCCGAGCTGCCAAAGCGCCCGCAGGAATGTTGCAATCTTGTCAGCTAGGTATCCATGGGGCTGAGTTTCGAATTTGTGCTTTCTGGCGTCTGCCTTTGGGGAGAATTCTGGGAAGGTTCTTCCACGAGAATTTGCCGGTCCCAAGGGTGCAGATGGAACCTCTGGTGAAGTCGTTGCAGGAGGCACGGGCCCGGGAGCAGCTGACGCCGCTGGCGTTGGCGCTGCTGCTGCAGGTGCAGGTGCTGGCGATGCCTGTGGGTGAGGTGGCTGGGGCGCAGATGCTGCTTGCGATGGCGGGACTGGCGACGGCGGCGGCAGCGACCCGCCTCCCATGATGCTTGCCGCCAGGTTCACCATCTGCGACATCAGGTCAACCGTGCTGGCGGCCCCGCTGGCGGACTCAATCTGAAGGGAACAGACAGGCGCACACAGATTTCGACAAGCACCAGATGGTGTATAAGGTTCCTCCGCATCTGCTGAGAGGATGCATGGACGGCTGCCAAGAACTATTGCTTCACAGCAGCCGCAGCAGCCTCAGAAGTTTTCTACCAAGGGATTGGTAAGGTTCAAAGTCTTCAAACTCTCCATAACATTCACTAAAGCGCCCTTTCTCGCCATCCTCTCTCCTCAAAGACCTCCCCTTCACCTTTGCCCTCGGCGCCTCTCCTTACCTCCTCCAAGCCCGAGGAGATACGTGACCAGTTGGCTAGCAGCATATTGGCCACTCCGTCCAGCCGTGCCACCAACGTCTGAAGAACAATCATGGCCAGCTGGTGCCCGTCCACCGTGCCGCTGCACGCCGCCTCCGGTGCGACCGCCGCCACCACGCTCTGCGCCACGTTGCAGCCGATGCTGTTCACCATCATGGGCAACAACATGCGCACCATCGCATTCATGTCCTCATCCAGCGCAGCACGGCGCCATGCATCCTGATTACCTGTCGCGTTGTCGCCCTGGCGGCCACGGCAGCGGCTATGCTGCCGCCGCTGCTCATGCCCCTCACCCTGCGGCTGTTGCCCTGCCGCGCCCTCCTCCGTTGCCCTGTCGCCTTCATCGCCGGCACCGCCCCCCTCACCCTCCCCCTCATCCTCAACATCATCATGCCACAAGCAGCATCTTTCCTGCATTCCTTAAGATCCTGCACGGCCGAAAAAAACCTCATATACAGCGTGCCTTCAACACCACATGTAAGAAATACCACATATGCGTCAAGTAACTGAAGTCCTGCCACCGCAAAGCACACCGTACATTATCCCCCCAAGGCAATCCTTTCCCCCTGCCGAAGCCAAGATGCCACCTTCCGTCCTCCCTCCCTCGCCATTCCCTGCAGCCGCCCTGGCCCAATCTCGCACCACTTTGCACTTCTTCAAAGCAGTGGGTGCAAAGCAGAGAGCAACTCTGCAGGGGCCCACATGCCTCCTGCGTCATGGCGAATGGCGAACCGAGGCACTCTCAAACAGGTTGCTCACCTCGGACTTCCTGTGGGCGGGGGGGCCCCGCAGAGGAGGCAGGTAGTTGTCAGGGGTGGGGTGTGGGGCTATCCATGTATACACTGGTGCCAGTAATAGGTAATGTCGGGGGCGGGTGGGAGGCGGATTCGTGATATATGCAAGGGGGTAAGGAACACGGTACATGTAAAAGCCAACCAGGTCCCACTGGGGATCGGGAAGGGACACGCATGGGAAGGCTCATTCGAATGGTGATCAAGATGGAGGGGGGCCCAGTTGGGTGGAGAACGGCAGCGTGTTGGAACGGGGAAAGGGAAGGCCAGACGGGTTGTCAACACCGCCAGGTTCACGTCACATAGTGCGGTCACAAACGCCTAACACTCCCCAAGCCACCATCCACCCCTCGAGCCACAAGCGCCCAGTTGCAATCAGCTAATGCCACTCAGCGCCAGCGTTGGACTCACTTCCTTGACAAATTTGTACAACTCCTGCCACGGGGCCTTCTCCTCAGTGCTAAGGTCTGATAGGTAGCAGCTGTCAAAAAATTCGCGGTTGATCAGCCGCAAGCGGTGAGCTGCCTCCGAGCCCTCCTGGAAAGGGGAGCCCGAACCCTTCCCTAGCAAAACCATGGAGCTCAAGGACAGGCCCTTGTTGCGAGCCCACTGATTCCGCGCTCGCTTAT